CACCCCCCCCCCCCCGCCCCCACACAAAAAAAAGGCAAGTAATAAATCGGGTTCCTTCAACCCCAACTCGGAGAACCCAACACACCGCGGCCTCGTGCACCGCCAGCACCGCCGCTGCGCGGCACGCGGCGGCGAAGCGGCCCACCTCGCCTCGGTGCGCGCTGCACGAAGGAACGAGACCCGAACCCAGGGGATTCCCCCATTGCCATATTTGAGGGGAGGCAAGTATTTGCGCCATGTTTGTAAGGGGGTTCTAAACGCAACGTTGCACGCGCGTTGCGCCAAGAGGTTTGGGTGGCAAGAGGGCTAGATCTGATGACGGTGACGGTGACGCACCCGCGATTGGGTGGCATCAAGAGGGCTGGATCTGATGGCGGTGACGGAACTGAAAGCTCATGACACAAGAGGAGGCTACCCCTCCAGAAAAAAGGAAAGGTTGCACCCCGAAAAAGGGAGAATTAGAAGGGGAAGCCGCAAGAAGATCGAGAAGATGTTAGGACCCTATTTTGAGACGTACCCAATTGAACACTGGGAGCCCTGGAAGTGGCAACGGCACCCCTGGCTCAGAAGGAGCACAGCCTGGCAGGCAACATTTGTACCGAGTCACTGGACCTTATCTCCCGGCCATCTGGGATCTGTGTTCCACTCCCCGCTTCCCCCCCCCTACAGTGGCGCACTAGTAGGAGCAAGGGCGTGCGAATGACCGAAAGTTCCTGTCTCATTTCTTGCTGCATTCTTTTGCTAAACAGGTGACTCAGGTGACTCATCCATTCCCGCTTAGCCCTTATGCGCAAACAGTTTCCAGAAAACCCGAGGGAGGGGGCGGGGGGTTGTGAGGAAGGGGTGATCAACCAATGAACATGTAGCGAATGGAACTATTGGGCTACACAGCTACAGATACTTGCCCAGCCACGCGCTGTTCTTGGTTGGCTGCCTTGCAAGAAAGCACTTGCCAACATTATTCATCCTTTTCACTGCATCACAGATTGAAAAATACTCTCTTGACGTGACAGACGCGGAATACAACCAGGAATTCGCAAGTAGCAGCACGGTCATCGAAGCCGTGGGGGTGGGAGACTTCGACAAACAAACCAGTCCTTTTTGAGGGTACCTGTGTGTTTGTGTGTGTCTGTCTTGTTTGTGTCTGGTTTTTGGTTGGGCATCCCTTTAACACCAGAAAGCAAGGGGTACCCTACAAAAACAGAAATTGACACACAAGGGGCCCCTATTTTACAGTGCTTTTGACAACGTGGTACTTTCAGACATGTAATGCAAAGTCTTTCGGCTTCTCTTGGGAGTTGCAAAGCCATGAGCTTGAAATGGGCACAGTTTCGAGGGGATCTGGAAACGGGAGCAGAGGGGAGCGACCAAAAAAGAAACATTTTTTTTGTGGGTGTGGCTCAAAATCAAAGAGCTGGGGCCAACCGCGGGTTTTAGTGTTTGGCTCCATTTGCCAAGGGTGCCATTTTGGTTTTCCAAAGTTCAAGGATGTCCTGATTGCTTACACAGCTCCCTTGAAGTTGCGTGTGATTCACTTGCTTTAGAATTGAATTGTATAATGGGTCACTGCATTTATAAACTGAACTGTGCATTTTCGCAGCACATTCTCTTGGTCAGTGTTTGCTGCTTGGGCATTTGCATCAATAGCCCCATAGTGGAAAGCCTCTTGTGGTGTTAATGATGCAGGATCGCAAGTGGTTGAAAAAGCAGTGATAGCTAACACAATATCTGCAACTAGCAGCAACATTGATTGCTGCCTCGCTTGACCTTTAATGACGGAGCACATGTGGCAACAAGGGGTTTGGTTGAACTGGGGCTACAGTTCTAAAAACAACATATTCTATGCGTGTTGGTTGTGGGCCCATGTGCGTGTAGCATTATCGTGCATTGCCTTGCGCACAATGCTCTCTATGGTAATTTCACAGTGTAGAATGGGATAGCATATGTGTGTGCCTGTGTCTTTGGCATACAACTGTCAACTGCATGTGTTGAAGGTTAGGCCAATGTGTGGCAGTGTCATCAGGCTGCTGGGTTGCTATTGGTTGGCATAGAGAGTTTAGCTAGTACCAGAAAAATATGTTCCCCGCTTCAGTGAAATCATCGTTTCCATCAAAACCAGTGGTTGCATGTAGCGCATCACATTTCCACAGTTTCATCGTTTCTTGCACGAAGGTTCTTTGCGGGTGACCAGAAGATATCTACTTATCAGCAAGTGCTTTGACGACCTATGGAGAGCGCAAGTAGAGATCCTTTGCAAGGGAACCCGAAAACCATAGGGGCGAGAACAGCCCATGAGGCAAACCCAACTGCGAAACCACAAACAGAACCATCCCGCTCATTTCTGCGCCGAGTTGCTGAGGTAAGACAGGGCAGCCGCCAACCGATGTTCACCTGCGAACTCGGACTGGCTGGTCCGTTCAATCAGTTCTCCCGGGGCACATGGAGGACCAAGAAATCCGATTTGTTGTCGGCGTCTCACAAACCTCCAGTTGGCCCCGCATCCATCAGGACCTTTTGGAAAAAAAGCCACATCTTTTCTTCAATCAGACCCTGAAAGAAAGTGGTAATTAGCCTCCGGGTTTTGCATTAGATTCTCCCATGACTTGGAAGGCCCAGGCAATGAACTCTCTAAAGCGGCTTCCGGTTCTCAACCTCCTCTGATCCTGCTGTAACCTGGAGTGAAGTTGTCCGTCGTTTCACTCCATGGATCCAACTCTAAGGCCCCGTTCTTGGACTCCATTGGGAAGTTGCAACAACCTCTCCGGCGGGTTTCGTTGAAACTGCCAGGGGAAGGAGGTTCCAACAACTGGGCTGCCCGTTTTCGGATCCCCTGCTTAAAGTGGCTAACTTTTAGTGGGTTCAATTCGGAAACCCCCACTAAACACTAAAAGGCTCTAAAAAGCTCAGGAACCGGACGGCTGGGCACCAAAAAAAGAGAAATGGTGGACACCGTGGACCCTGATCCTACCCTTGCTTTAGACCACCGTTGCTCCTTCCCTCCAAAAGACCGGCCAGGGTAAAAATGTGAACGTCGCCACAAGAAGAAAGTTCCGCATGGGTCGAGTGATTCCACTACAAGGGTCTGCAGACCAGCGTGCTGAGATACCTTCTTTTAAAGGATCCCCCTCTGGCGCCATTTAAGATGCAGGGGCGTAAACCCATCCCCTTGCAGCGTCGTTTGGGAGACATCCAACGATCTGCAAGGATTAGCCTCCTTTGGGTTAGATTGAACTTGTTCCTCCTTGCAAATTTGTGGAACCTGCTTTCTGGCAGAAGAAAAGTATGCTTCTGTGGCAAGGAACACCTTCCGCACCAGGGGCGCCAACCTGTCGATCCTTGCCTGGAAACCTGAAGCCCCTGAAAACACTCCCAGCGCATTTTCGGAAGGGACCTCTCAGCCAGCTGTTCGGAGCCGCTTCAGGCCGCTGGGGGCATCCCATGGATCAGTTGCCACTCCCAAGGAGTCTCATCTAAGAAGACTTTAGATGCTTCCCCTCCGAAAGCTGGAGATCAGACATGCCCCACTTTACACCAAACTACTCCACACCCCAAGAGAAACAACTGACACGCCCCACTTTACACCAATTAATCAAACTACTCAGACACCCCAAGGGAAACAACAACAGCCCCACCAAAACCCGAATAAAACCCGTTCCGAATCACTTCATTGGGCCTAGCTGCTGCCTAGCCCAAGGCGCCTGGAGCTGTTCCGTCGGCTTCGGGAGTCGGGCCGGCGCGCGCCTGGCTCCGCTGCGTTCCAGCGCTGCCCGCTTGTTGGCTTCCCCAACTCGGTTCAAAATACGTTAAAACCCCTGTGGGAGTAAATGCCATCTTCAGAACTTGTTCTAAGCCACGATCAGCACCCTGTCCCGTCAAGCTCTTTGCAGAATGGAGCATTGGAATTCGAATAAACATGTAACATGTCCATAATGTCAGCTTCTCACGGTTTTCGGCGGTTTGGATTGGTGGTTTGGTGGTCAAGGAGGGATTTCCCATTTACCCTCGACAAGAACCAGACTTCAATTCCCCAAACCAACCCGGGGTGACCCGAGAATCCCCAAATATTGGGAACAAACAACACGCGAAGGGGCACGTTGCCCTAAAACAGCCCAGCCAAAAAGGGCCGAGCGATGCGGAGATGGCCCGGCTATGGCTTCAGAATCCGCCTTAGTCCCTTGTGTTAGGCCCTCACGAGCAGCTCCCTTTGCTTTCTCCCACCCTGGAAAAGAACAAATCCAATAGCTAGGTCCTCCAGATTTGAGAGGTTAGAATAAGGGTACAACTTTTTTTCTGTCTATTTTAGTAGGGGAACCCTCTCCCAACAAAAAGGGTAAAAGGGCACTACTGGGGGACCTAGTCAAATAGTGAAAACCAACAGGGGACAATCAAGCATATTCGTAGGCAAACGGAAGTGCGCTAACAGCTGGACAGTCATCAAGGGGCTTGCGTTTGTCGGTGGCTTCCCGGTCCGGACCTTTTTCGACTGGCAAACTTACAACCAAACAGAACCGTCCACCAAAGAGTCCAACGGACCCAAAAATCCCTGGACCCCATGATTCCACCTCAATGCTCCATCGCAGATATCCCAAAAAGTGTACCTCTACCAGCACCCTCCGACTACTGCCCAAACGGCAGTAGATAGAAATTACCCAAAAACGACAGTAGATAGACGGTAGTCGGAGGGTGCTGGTAGGCTTTACAAGATGCACGTGCCATGGGAACCGCGGCGGCCACCCGTTTTATATTCATTTCCGCTCCCCCCGCTTGGACGACCCAAGGTGAACCCCCCTGCGAAGCTCTGGGACCTTCTTACAAAATATGTTCCCTCCAAACATCGCATGCATTAAATGGCAAGGGGGGGTGTTGTGATAAGGGGAAGGGAGTCTTTCCCAGAAATCAGTATGTATCAATTGGGGGCGGGGGAGGAGGGGGCGGGATTTGATAAGGGGAAGCTAACCAGAACAACAACAAAAACAAAAACTGGACGGAGCTGGCGCCCTTTGCACTTTGCTCTCACCCCTCTTCGGCTCCTGGGCTCTCAGAGGGCTTTGCGCTCACCGCTGGACGCCTCTCAATCTCCGAGGCTTAAGGATGAAACTAGTCTTCCTCGAAGCTGGCGAGAAGATGCCTGGGCGTCACGCCATCCTTGTCGCGCTGGTCCTACGCTGCCCGTTTTTGGACCCCCCGCTTAAAGTGACTAACTTTTTGTGGGTTACATTCGGAAACCCCCACTAAACCAACTACCCTAAGCGTCATGACCCCTCCAATGCAGACCCCCGGACCCTCCAATGGTTAAATGGAAACCACTAAACACTAAAAGGATCTAAAAAGCTCAGGAACCGGATGGCTGGGAGCCACCAAGTGTCCTGGTCAGCGCCGGCCTCCAGCAAACAACGCACCACTTCGAGATGGAGATTCGCGGCAGCGAGGTGCATGGGGCTCCGACCGACCCGGTTGCTCCGGTTCTTGTCGGCTCCGGCATCCTGAGCCAGACGAATCCGCAACGAACCAAAGCCGTGGGCAAAAAAAGTGTGGTTCAAAGGTTTGATTCCCCATTCTCTTCACCCGTCGTTCTCTTTAGAAACCACCTATTTGCCAGGTGTTTGGCCCATTATTTGAAGAGAAGGATCCCTGAAGAGAATCGGATGGGTACCACTAGAGTGTTGAGTCATAGGAGGCCAATAGGAAAAACTGATGGTCCTAGCAAATAAAAGAAACCCCATCCAAACCCGTGCCATCTATTTCAACCAAACTATCCTTAACCAGACGCCTATGTGTTGAGCCCCAGCATCCAGCAAGCAGCAAACGACTTCAGAATGGCCACTCAGGGCAGCCGAATGCATGGGCGTCGCCCCCTGCTGGTCGCCTTTGTCCTTGTCAGCTTTCGCCGTCAGCAAGCACTGCACCACCTCCAAATGCCCGCGCTGTGCACCGAGATGCAGCGGGGTAAAGCCATTCCTCGCGAAAAAATGATGGTAAAACACAACTCGGTTGCAACCCTCAAATGCTCAGTGGCCATGAAAAAACACACACCCTTTTTTGGTTGGTTGAGTTTAAAACAAACCTTTCCCAAAAAAAAGGAAAAAAGGGCGAAATCCACTGGGCAACTGGGAACCATTCAAGAAGAAACCCTCAGAAGCTGGGCTGTCCGTTTTCTGATCGCCCGCTAAAAGTGACGAAACAACTTAGGGGATGGCTGGGAACCACCAGAGAAGGAACCAAAAAGAGCTTGTTTAAACAATCTAAACATCTTTCAAGCAGGACTGGAAATAACAGAACTTGTTGGGATGCGACCAAAACTGAACATCCTAGAGGTGAACTCTCCATTCGCCTGCTGAGACTCGTGTCTTCCACGTCCTTACCAGCACCAGCTTGCAGTAGATATTGCAGAACCTCCAACCGCTCATGCAGAGCCGCGAGATGTAGGGGCGTCCGACCATGTGGCTCGCGGCCCCTGTCCATGTCGGTGCCAGCGTGCAAGCAACCTTCAGGTGTCGAAGACGTGTATTTTGTTGTTTCATATGTCTGCGGTTTTGGGAAATCCTTTTGCGGAACATCTGGAGTACGATGGCCATGTAGCACCAACAGTTCCAAACTGAGATTGCATTTCCTGGCCCAAGAGAAAAACACATGATCCCCTGCAATGAAAACTACGGTGTGAACGTTTAAAGCTTGGCTCTGGGCAAGTCAGGCAACGCACCACGTCCAAAAAGCCATACTCAGCAGCAAGATGTATTGGTATAGAGCCATCCTTGTCGCTTTTCTCCTTCTCGGCACCAGCTTCCAGCAAGCAGCCAACGACTTCCAAATGACCGGCGAGAGCAGCAAGATGTAGGGGGGTCCGACCAACATTGTTTGTCTTGCTCTTGACGGCACCAGCTTCTAGCAAGCACTCAACAACTTCCAATTGGCCCTTCAAAGAAGCATTGTGCAATGGTGTCTGACCAACCTTGTCACTTTTCTCCTTGTCAGCACCAGCCTCCAGCAAACGGCGAATGACTCCCAAATGACCTTGACATACTGCAATATGCATAGGCGTCCATCCCTTATTGTTTTCCTTGTCCTTGTCAGCACCAGCTTCCAGCAAGCAACGGACAACTTCCATGTGGCCGAAGTGAGCAGCGACGTGCAAAGGCGTGTCCCCAGCCTTGTCCGCCTTATCCTGGTCGGCACCGGCTTCCAACAACAAACGCGCCACTGCCGTGCGGTCACCATAACGGCCAGCACTGTGAAGGAGAGATTCTCCATCTGTCAGCGTGGTGTTGGGGTCACCTTGGTTGCTGTTGACCCCTGTGCAAAAAGTTGAACTATTTGTGGGTTGAATGGAAAACCCCCTGGTTTCCCAAGAAGTTAAAGTCTAACGATCTAACCCCATAGCAGTAGAGTCACAAGGCTGCTCCAGAAGCTGCACCATGTCCCGGAGGGCATTTTTTCGGATCGCGGAGAATAGCTCCGCTTTCATGCGAGCCACGTAAGGGCGCACCACGGCCAGCAAGGGTTCCTCCGGACGGCTGGGACCTAGAATCTGGTCTCCGCAGACCAAGCTCAGCTGTCTGAAATTGCTGATCTGCATGCGCTTGGACACTTCCCGTCTCAAGGCATCGTGGAATTCTGTACCCCTGAGCTCGTGATTCTCTTCCCACTCAGTGAATTCCTGGGCTGACATTACCTCACGACCGCTGGGCAGGCGAACGCATGCCATTGCGACAGGCAAAGACACACCCCATGCAAAAGGAAGCACCTCTAGCAGTGGAGCAAGCGTTTACAAGAAAACTAAAGCCGAAACGTCAAATTCGGCACAGGGTTGTGGTTCAGCTGGCAAATGCAGACATGGTCTCTGTGGGTACAATGAAGACAGCCGCCCTGTCAAAATGTTGCTGTCACTCAACTGTGCCCCAATAATGAACAGGATCAGTGTACTATGGTAGAGCAAAGGGAATTCAGCAGCCCTCCTAGAAAAATCAAAGAGCAGGATCCCAAATGACAGTTGTTCATGATGGCACCCGAGCCTATGTGCTATGCAGGCCGTAACATGTGTGCAAAGCGCCATGCAGCTAATACATGTCACTGCGCCTGATCCTCCTCCGATTAGAGTTAGGCCTACTTATAGAATATATAATTTATTGCTTGCTTCACTTGGAGTCACTGGTAAAATGTAAAATGTATCCTAAGTCTACTCCAGCTCCGAGCGTTTCCAACGCAAACTTGAAATGAAAGGTATGCTGTCGGGCCGACTCAAAACATGCAGCTTGAAACCCAAACATCTCGGGTGCGTCGATTCTTGTGAGGGCTCCTTTTGTTGGGCTGTTCAAGAGTGGGCACAAATGCAATGCCGTAGAGTCCAAACTGTGGAGCTCCCAACTCTTAACAAAATCTCTACATTTGTGCAATCTGTACCTATTGGGTATGCAAACTGATCGCTACTCATGTTTTAGGAGACAAACCAATTCGCTTTGGCGCTAAACTCCCCCCAGACTTGGACCGAAAGGGAAAGGAATCCCAAACCCAGTGCTTTCATTTTTTGAAACACCCGTTTCGACTCGAAAAGGACTGACCGAAGTACGGGCAACTGGTGGAAGCTTTGCAATTGAACCCCAGAGGTCGGGTCCTGATGTTTGGATCTGATGTGTGCATGTGTGTGTGTGTCAAAATGCCCCCGCCAAAAATAATGTTGGCCTTGCCCCAAAAACGGCGCCACATCTCAAAAGAACAATTCCCTGAACTCTTGGTCCGGAACGCCTTCCGCAAAAGATTCACACAAACGTCCAGGCGCAAGGGATGGATCCAAACACAACAGGGCTGATGCGACAACAACAAAAAGAAGCCCCCCTCCAAGCAAGGAAGGTCCTGAAGTCTCCAAAGCAAAGAGCACACCTGAAATGGTTCACCGGTCATCTGGCTCGGGCCTGGTAGCTGCTGCCTTTCGTGCCTTTTCTCTGAAGTGCTCCTTTGACTGCCAGGGTTTGAAGAAACCTACGCCCGAAGGTCTTTGAGACCATAAAAGGTTCTAGGGGTACCTTCCATTTCCATTCTTTCCAGGGATCCGAATCTTTTCAGGAAACCATGAAATTCTCAGGGGAAACAGCCAGTTTTTGAAAAAACAAAATGGTTGATTAGAATGGGGAATCAACCCCTAAAAAGGTGCATGAGCTGTCCCGCGAGAGCTCTTGCAAAAGGGCACTACTGGGAGACCCAGTCTTGGCCCAGTGACCTATTCCCTGCGTGGTCAGTTCGATTTTGAGTGCAGCCACCATGATCGTGTCCAGTCTGCGCAAGCCAAAACCGTCGCATGAGGGAGCCTACGGGTCTGCGTAAGGGGGTCAGGACTGAGACGTGCCCAAAAAAGATTCTCCAAATCCAGTGCGCGGCTCCAATAAGTTGGCTGCTTGTCAAAATGTTCATGGAGCGCTGGATGTCCTTCAATACGACCCAGACTGCAGATGTGCTTGCTTTCTCTTCAAACTGGGGCTCGGGTGCCCGATTTTGGGCAGCCATGTTCCTGCGAAAAACCACTTGCCGGTTCTTGAGAATTTCTGTGGAAACGAAAGGAATCCACCTAGAGGAAGCCACGAAACATTTTTGATTTGTGTGGCTCAAAAAATACACAGCTGGGGTTACGCAAGTTTTAGTCCTTGTTTCCATATGCCAAGGTCCATGCTTTTAGCCACATGCAAAGGTCCTTGCATAGGGTTTATAGCGCCACACAAATATGGTCTATACTGACAAGCAAATGGCTTGCATCTCTCAGCCCGTCGCCTGCCGCAGCGCATCGTGCCACGCAGTCACGGGGTCGTGCCCGTGCCTGAGCCAAGGAGAGACTGGACTTGAGCGACAATACTTCGATGTCAGTCGCGGTAAGATAGCCACAGGAATCACCAAACATGGCTAACTACCCAGGCACGGGAGAATTAGAATTTATAGGTGGGTCATAACCGATACCAACTGGGCCAAACACGCGGGTGGAAAGCTGGCGTGTGTTCAAAATATCATTCCTTTGGGCCCCCTTTAGATGACGGTACCTGTTGATAGTCTTAATTGGCCGTTTTGGCTCTCAAGGCTGTCGTTGCCAGGCCCAAACAAACAAACCAGTTATAAACTAGCGTTGACCCCATATTAGTCAACCCCAGTTTATTTAGAGGGGGGTGGGCCGCCCCCGCCCCCTATTTTATTGATAAACTGGGGTTGATTAAGATGGGGTCAACAGTAGTGATTCAAGCCACTTGCACAGGGGACACTTTTTTTGGGACCCACAGGCATGAGTCGTTTGTTTGTCGTTTTTCTTCACGGGATGGCAAACGGAATGCCAGATAGATTGACCCCATAGCTTCTGTTGAGAGAAATCATGGGGCAACCTGTTTACTTCTTGTCCCAGCCAAAAGAGTTGCTGGACTGGGGGACCACCCATTGGTAATGTTTTTGGTTTTGCTCCAAGTGAGGGACTAAAACCTGCGGTCCCCTGACTGGCCCATATCCATGAATAGCGGGGTCACTTCACAGGGGGCCTTCGCAATGGAACAAGTACAAACAAAGACGCATATTACCTCCACTAACCCGATTGGTATAATTTCATTAGGGGTCAACGGTATACAAGTTACAGATAGTATTAGTAGCAGAGCACCTGCACGAGTTCATTGCATCCAGAATTCCCAACAACCCACGCACACTCACGCACACTCACACACACACACACTCACACACACACACTCACACCCACAACCACACACACAACCACACACACACACAACCACACACACACACACAACCACACACACACAACCACAAACACACACACACAACCACACACACACACAACTACAAACACACACACACACAAACACAAACACAAACACAAACACAAACACAAACACACACCCACCCACCCACCCACCCACCCACCCACCCACCCACCCACCCACCCACCCACCCACCCACCCACCCACCCACCCACCCACGCACGCACGCACGCACGCACGCACGCACGCACGCACGCACGCACGCACGCACGCACGCACGCACGCACGCACGCACGCACACAAAGTCACACACGTACACACATGTACACACATACACACGCGCACGCACCGGTGCCGAGCCAAACAAAAATGCAGCCAAGATGCTTGACGCCAACCGGAATGTCCGGCTTATCGCCTTAGCGTGCCGCTGAGGCGGCTGCTCTCTTTTCCAAACACTAACACAAGCTACAAAGACCCACGCGTGGTCCCTTGCTACCTGATTGATAGGGTCGCTTGACATGAGTTTGTCTGCAAATTTGGGCATGCTCCAGAATGGGTGGTCTCCCTTTGGTTTTCCCTTTAAGGCATCCCTGGTACCAGTGGGTCCAGTTACCACTACAGCAGGCAGCCGGGAGCTTTGCATCTGCTTACCTATAGTGTGACGGCATCATATGGGCTGGGTATAAAGGTAGTTTTAGGCCTCATAAAGCCTAGAAACCTTAGGAATTTCAGAACCTCGACTTTTCAAGACTGGAACGCAAACAAGTCAAAAGGTTTGTTCACCTTCGGCCAGCGGCCGTGTGCATCAGAGCAATTCACAAATCTGAAAAAGGGTTCCCAGTATAAAAGGAACCTTCATCATGGGAAAGGTCAAAGACCAGGTTTTTGAGGTATCGATTTAACATGCTTAGAAAGTAGCTTACAAATCCGGGGCCAACAAGTTGCGATTGTCCCAATCTGAAATAAGGCATACCCGCTGGTCAAGGACCTTGATCGCGGATGAGGTAGTGTTAACCCTAGATAAGCTTGTCAAAAACTGTCAGGAAAAACAAAACTCCACTCCAAGCATCTGCGCTTCTTGCTCTAATTTGCCAACCTGAATTGAGGAGCCCCTAAGTCGGTGTCCCCCAAAGCACCCCATGGTTTAAAGCTTATGACACCTGCCAAGCATCTAAGTGCACAGGCGTCTCCACGAGGACAGCTGAGGCCCATTAAACCAGGTGGAACCTGCTAAAGTGGGCTGTCCTCAGATCCGCCAAAGTTGTTTAACGGTTGGTGGGTCAAATGGAACTCTCCACTAAACAACCTAAACACAACTAAAAACTGGCGCTGCTTGAAGGGGTAGGCTCCTTAGTGGTTCGTAAGCCTGGTCATCAACTTAGGCTCATGACCAAGGTAAGTGAGTCACAATCAAAACCCGGTATAAAAATAGTCTACCCAGAACCATGCAAAGAATTAAGAAGGCGGCCGCAACTATTTCTGGCTGGGACTGCCCACTTACAAGTACCCAAGTGGAACCACTTGAAAATGGTCCACCGGACTCGTTTTGGGCGGTGAACCATCCGAGAGTCTCACCTGGATGCGGTGGAAGTTGAACCGGCTGCGACTTGCGCCCCATGTCGAACCAGCCTCGGGAACGGGCCATCAACCACTTGTTACCCTTGCTTTGTTGTTTCTTGCCCCTGGAAAGGAAATTTGTCATTCCCAGAATGGGAACAAGTTTCGGGCTGATTCCTGAAATAGAGGGATTTGGCAGCCCTGTCTATCCAGCGCTCTCATACTTTCCTGGGAGCAGAAACTGAAACGCCACTCCTGTTTTGCGATGCTTGGCTTGAAGAGTGATATACACCAGCCAACAACCACGGAACACATGTGGGTGCTAGAAAACCATTACAAGCCTTATGTTAAGAGAAACCCATGGCACCTTCGCCCAAACTGCGAAAGAAACAATCTTATCTGGACTCCAGCAAGCCCCATAGGAAACATACCGAACTTGTGATACCCAAGTTGGCCTTCAAGACTTGATCACTTTACACGAGATT